ATCGGAGATATCTCGATTATAGGAGGCCAAACGACATCACTGGCCGACTTCCTCTACTTCGCAATTGAGGTGTCGTGTGTGCTTTTCGCGTGGGAAATGAAGAACCGTCTAGACAAAGTGCGTGAAGTGCGACGTCAGACCCTGGATTTCCGGATGTTTCCAAGATTTTCACACGAAGCCAACTTCAGTTAGATGACGCAGGTGGGAAGAGAGACAACTTATAAAGCTGGTGACCAAAAATCATGTAAGTAGAAAAAGAATTTATAACTTAAAATTAGATTTTAAAAAGCCGGCCGCACGCGTGGAATGCGCGATGACATATGGCGTCATTCGCCCCCTTGACTTTATTTTCATGACGCCATATGGTGTCGCTCGGCTCTTAAAGGTTAATAAAAATTGTATATATTTATAAATTACACAGGACATATATAACCCTCTGTAATAATAGAAGAAACACATAATGCAATGTTTTATTTTTCTACTACAAATGGTAGCTCTATTTCATTTTCCTAAAAAGGCTGCATGATATAGTTAATTAATAATACACATGCATATTTCATTGCTATGCACATTACACAGAGAGACAAACAATCATATACAATGGACCCTTGAACTTCAAATGGTTTGATGTTCGAACAACTTGAAACTCAAACAAAATTTTAAAGAAAGTCCAGTTTTAAACTTGAACAGAAACTAGAAAATTGAACAAAGAATCACATGGTTGTCATGTGGTCACCTTCTCTCTCTGCTTGGTCTCATGTGCAGTTGCACAGTCAGTTCTCTTGCGACTGGTTCAGTGACCATCTCACAAATTCAGTCTATTTTTTTTTTACTTGGGTTATTTTTATATTATCTTTAATAATATTCATTCATAATGGCACCAAAGTAAGTTACTAGAGGTGTAAAGCCTAAGAGAAAAATCATAATTTCTACGATAGAAATTAAAAAGGAACTTTATCACTAAGTGGGAAAGCAGTACATGTTTATTGGACCTGGCTGCTAAATATGTCATGGCTAAGTTGATCATATCAACAATACTGAAGAACAAGGAAGCCATTAAAGTGGCTAGTGTGGTGAAAGGGATAGAAAACTTTAGCAGTAAAAGATCGCCAGCAGTGGAAGAAGTGGAAAAAATTTAATGGTTTGGATAAAAAACAAAACAGGTTGCTGGTGATAGAATGTCTGAAGCCAATATATGAGAAGGCTAGACATCTGTATAGTGACATTAGAAAAGATACCCACGGTGCTGAAGAATTTTAGGCTAGTAAGGGGTGGTTTGACAGTTTTAAAAAGAGAACAAGCATTCATAGTGTTGTTAGGCATGGGGAGGCTGCCAGTGCAAATAAAGATGCTGCCAAAAAATTTGTGAGGGAGTTTAAAGACTTTTAGGAATTGTTGGGGTATTGGTCTAAAACACAGAGCCTTGTAGAGAAGTAGCACCCCAATTTTGCAATTGTGAACAGAAGTAGTGTGACGTGTTGCGCAACGGTAATAGGCAGGTCAACATCCTCCCCCCCCCCCCCCGGCAGCCGTGATGCGCCGAGCGGAGCCGAAGTGAGCCGAGTCCCAGCACACTGGTCGCTATGCAACGTGAGTAAACAGCGGTAGCTAGGCAAAGCAGGTAAACAGTGGTTGCGAGAGACGACGGTAATAACAGCGGTACATAGCGTTGCTAGCACGACTGCGGCAGACAACAGTGGTGCCTATTACGTGGCCGTTTTCTGTGTTGTCCGAACGAGGCTACATAAGGAGCAGGGAAGGCTATTCACAGTCAGTTCCGAGCAAGCCTACGAGTTAGTTCTCCAGTCAGCAGTGAACTTGTAGCCGTCCCCGGAGAGAGTTAAAGTGTATCAGCGCCGAAGACAGTTCTCAAGGCAGCTACCTACGAGTTGAGTTGAAATGTGGCCATCGCCGAGTTCCGAGTTAGTTCCGAGCCAGTGTGTGTGATCAACAGTTCTCCAGTCAGCAGTGAACGAGTAAAGGTGTGATAATCAGTGACAGTTTGTGATAACTGAGAATTAATTGGGAGTGTGTAACACAGTGACACTCGTATAGCTCCCGCGTGCTGTGAAACATGTATACTGACAATAGAGTGATTTGATTTGCGAATAGGGTTATAAATTGTGAAACCCCGCAATATTGTTATAATTAATTGTAGCCGTGATTTGTAGGTCGTTAAATAAACCAATTAACAATCCGAACGGCGTCTTCAGTAACGAAACACGTTACAGTATCAACTTGTTTAATGACAATGTAATGCAATATTTCAGAAAAATTTTAAAAAAATAGACAAAAACAAATGACATTAGAAGAAAAATCAAGTGGTGTAATGTTAATGGACCGCAACTCCCAACTAATGGATTTCAGATGAAAGAAGGGTAATTCACCTGCCAGTGAACAGTAATATCCCTCCTACCATTATTATTGATTGATTATTTTACAATATTTTTATATATGTACTATTATAAATAAAAAAATTCAATTACTGAAATTAAATATGCTTTTTTTGTCATTATTTACCAATATGATCTTTTAAAATAGGCACTTAAAATGTTTTATACTGGGTAAATTTTGGGGGTCTGGAAGGGATTATTTAAATTTACATTATTTCAAATGGAGAAATTTAACTCGGAAGTTGAACAACTTGAAAGAAGAACCATCTCTTGGAATGGATTTTTTTTTAAGTTCAAGGTTCCACTGTATTAAAAATGTGAATATTATGTACATTTCTAAATGCAAAAAGTTCAAATTCTTCTTAACAAGCAAACTGTTTTTGAACAAAATGATGCAAGCACATTAAACCTTATTTATTCTATGTAATAAATAACAAAACTATCAAAAGTATAACACATATGCACATGTAGACAATTTATTATTACGTTTCATTAGTCCTATTTAAATGTCTGAAGAAATGAAACATCCAATCTAGATCCCTCTCTGAATAAATTAATCATTCAAACAAGGTCCACCTCTGAACAGATCAGTTATCTAAGCTAGATCCACCTCTCAACAAATCAATCAGCCAAACTAGGGACCTTTATGACTGCACAAAACATCCAAATCTATGTCCCTCTCTAACCTATGAGTTATGCTATGAGCTATGCGATGAGATCAATTAAGCCTTTTATGTCACAGGAAACATTGAAGATGGTTTACCATGCCTACTTTCATTCTATTATGAACTATGGATTAATATTTTGGGGGAACTCTTCACATAGTGTAATAATTTTTAAAATACAAAAGAATATAATTAGAATCATTAGAGGATGTAGAAGTAGAGATTTCTCAAAAAATCAATCAGCCAAATCAGATCCATCTTTGAATAAATGGATCATCCAAATTACATTCATGCTCATTTAGTGTCAGGCATGTAATGTCCTGCTGTACAATTATTGTAAGCATTATATTATTAATATTTTCAGCATATTTTCTTTATTTTCAATAAAATTATTTTTAAGGTATATGGTTTTATACAAAACAATTTTCACCTGGTTCTTATCAATCTCTCCATCTTGTAGCTCAGCTTCACCTTGCTCTTGAAAAGTAATGATAATCAAAGCCACAAAGATGTTAACAAAGAAGAATGGAAACACTACGAAGTAAACAATGTAAAAGATGGACATCTCAATGCGGTAGTTCTGGACGGGACCATGGTCATCTTGTGTGGCAGCCATTGAGTTGTACAGCACCCTGAAAAGGGGACAATGCTATTAGTATCACATTTGTCTCTATATTTTTAATTTTACTATTTTTAATGCCAAATGTATTGGTAATTGATGGTGTTATATGAAGAATGGTGTCCAAAGGATTGCTTAGCTAGTACTTCTGAAAGTTTCCTATCACTACTTAATGAAACAGCATCTAGAGTTATGAATTTTAATCCTTTAAACAATTTTTGTTTTTTACTGATCTAATACATTCAAAGGTTTTGACTATTCTTGAAAACAATTTAATAACTTCTGGCATACTAAGCCTGTCCCAACTTCATCAGTGTCACCTTAAAATCTTGCCTTTAGTCTACTTGTACTTGTAACTGTTTGTCNCCGTGATATTAGTCCACAAGTGAACTATACCGACCGAGCAACCGCTGCTTGTCAGCGAAGTTCAGTGCCGACTTTTGCCAACCGCTGCTTGTCAGCGAAGTTCAGTGCCGACTTTTGCGGATAGAGGGTGATATGTGGTCAGCGCAACAAAACCCCATGGCCGTTAATTTCGGTTTTCTAGACCAGAGCAGCTGTTTCCTTGAAATAGCTACTCAATTATCATCACAAGGCTGAGTGGACCCCGTTCCAGACTCACTACTTCTCCAAAAAAATCTGGTAGCACCAGGAATCGAACCCAGACCTGTGGATCTGTAACTATCTGTACCTATACTAACTGAATTAAATACATTACAAATTTACACACTTATGGACCAATTATGTTGACAATATTCATTCATGGAATAAAATGATGATATAAAAACTCCTTCAATGCAGATTTAAAACTTCTCTCATCAGTAGCCAACATTTTTATTGTTTGAGGAAGATGATTGAAAGCTTTAATACCTGATATGTATGCACCTTTATTGTATTTTGTAGGTTAACTGCAGGTAAATATTGTGGGGCAGTCTTGTCAACGTGTGTCTTTGTCATTACTCCTATGACAACCCACTTCTTCGGAACAATTTGTTGGCCCTGAAAAGGACCGTGGTTGNCTCGGCCGTACGTTCCAGCGCCTCTACGACTCCAAGTATTCCGGTCCGTCCACGATCTGTCACACCCAGGCACCAGAGCAACAGCAAAGCTGGTCGCACAGCGATTCGTGTGGCCAGGCGTACAGAAGGATTGCCGCACCTGGGCACGAGCTTGCCAGTCCTGCCAGCGTTCCAAAGTCTCCCGCCACACAGTTACTCCACTGGGCGACTTTACACCGCCGGCAGCTCGCTTTCTACACGTCCATATCGACCTTGTGGGACCCCTTCCGACGTCAGCGGGCTACACATACTGCCTCACTGCAGTCGACCGTTTCACCCGCTGGCCAGAAGTCGTCCCCATTCCGGACATCACAGCCGACACAGTGGCACGCGCCCTGCTGACCGGCTGGATATCACGCTTCGGTTGCCCGCAGACGATCACCACCGACCAGGGACGCCAGTTCGAATCACAACTCTTCGCATCCCTGGCTAGGCTGTGCGGCATCCAGCTTTCACGTACAACCGCCCACCACCCAGCAGCTAACGGACTCGTGGAACGCTTCCACCGGACGCTGAAGGCAGCTATCATGTGCCACGCGGACCAACAGTGGACTGAGGCGCTTCCCATGGTTCTCCTCGGAATCCGCACGGCTTTCAAGGAGGACCTCCAAGCATCGGTAGCTGAGCTCGTGTACGGTGAGCCCCTCAGAGTGCCCCACAATATAAATTATTGAGGGCTCTAGTTTTGTATTTGTGAATCTCATTGCTAAAATTATATAAATGTTTATTATTAATTGTGTATAAAAGTAATGAATATATGTACTGAGAGTAGAATGTCATTACTTCCCAAGTTTCTACTCCATATGTTACAAGAGGCAAGTAATATATTTTCTGTAAGATAAATTTCAGCTCTTCTGAAATATGCCAATTCAATATAATGTCTCTAAGAGTCTGGTAAAACATCCTGGCTCTAGGAAATCTCTCTCAATTTTGTGGTTTCTGGTTATAATATAATAATTACTGATTACTGATTTGGAGCTGGGATAGTGCAGTCGGTATAGGAAGTGGCTACAGGCTGGATAACTGAGAGGTCGGAGTCCCAGTGGGGGCAAGAATTTTCTCTTCTCCAAGTCATCCAGACTGACTTTGGGGTTCACCCAACCTCCTAACTAATGGGTACTGGTGGCTCTTTCCCCGGGGGCAAAGTGGCAGGGGCATGTAGCTGACTACTCATCTCCAACTAGTGCCAAGGTCAAGAAAATGTAGATCTATACATCCAATCCCCCATATGCCTTCAGGGCATAGTGCTTAATTAATTAAGCACAGGGACAATTTTACCTTAACCTTTTACAGATTATTGATTACTATTACTAATGGTTGCTCATTAGTATCAGAAAATAAAAGATAAATAATTCATGAAATATATATGAGCAATAGTCTCTTTTAATCCATTATGTTCCTTTTTGTTGTTCATTTTATCTTAAAATTTTATAGATTTGGTATAAAATCAGATACAAAGATGAACGTGTTTTCAATATATGCAAAATAATCAGTAAGAATGATTGTTCACTTACTGTGGCCAACCTTCTCCTGTTTGCACAGCAAACAGAGTCAACATGGCTGCAATCACATTGTCATAATGGAAATCCTGTGTTTTCCACTCTCTTTTTTGTACTTTAGGTTCATCACCTTCATAAACAAAATACCAGCCCCTGGAAAAGAGGTTTTTCGTTCAGGATCTCATAACAAAAAATCAGCCCTGGAACATATTTTTAACACTCAGAAAACCATAATAACAAGTTCTGAGTTAGTTGCAAGTTTGTTGAAAAATGATTACCATAACACTGTTACAACAGTAAAAGAAGAGCTGAGGGTTTCTACAGAGTGAGTCATAAGAATAAAGTCGTTCAGCCTCATGAATCTTCACCCATAATTCTCAGTAAATTTTCTGTGAATCAGGAAGAAACATTACCCTTATCACTTGTATTGAAATTGAAGTTTATAGCAACATATTTTCACAATTTCGCAAGAGATGACAGTCTTATAGTTTAGTGGATTTCGGTCCTCATGCCAAGCCTTCTTAATTGTTTTTTGTTTGTTTTACCCTTCAACCATGAAGATGGTGGTGATACAGTTCTCTGAAAAGTTGGGCTCTCTCTGAACTACAGAATGTTACAGTCTAGGAGACCATATTCTTCACTCTCTCAGGCATGGTACTTCCTGCATATTTTTTTGTCTGAGCTTACTCAGCCCCCACTAAACTTTGGAACAACTGACAGATTTTTATGGAAAGTGGTTCTACATTTACACCACTGGGGACTAATTTCAGATTCATGTTTTTGAGTTACCCATGCTAATAGTATCTGCATGATGAACGTTTGTATTAGTAAGGTAAGGGAGGAGGATGGCATTATATTTTTCAATGTATGGTCACGCCTATGTGAAATGTGAAGTACGTGGTGCTATCCAAAAGTTCCTGAAATTTATTAATAAAAACTATTGTGTCATACCTGGATCTTATTTTGCACCATCACCTGCAAAGTAGTCCCCTTGGGAGTGCATACACCGATCCCAGCATTTCTGCCACTTTTGAAATGCATCCTGGAAGTCTTTCTTTGTTAGGGTGTTTAGTACCGTCTGCGTTTTCACTTTAATTTCCTCAACTGTATAAAATCTTTGCCCCTTCAACTTGATTTTCATCTTGGGGAAGAGAAAAAAGTCGCATGGAGCTAAGTCTTGTGAGTACGGTGGGTGGTGAACAACTGCCATCTTGTTTTTAGCCAAAAATTCCTGCACAATGTAAGCCGTATGCAGTCATGCGCTGTCATGGTGGAGTTACCAGTCATTCATGCGCCACTTCTCTGGACGTTTTCTCCTCATGTCCTCCCTCAAACACCTTAGAACTTCGCGAAAGAACTCTTTATTGACTGTCTGACCAGGAGGGACAAACTCCTTATGAACAATCCCATCANCATCAATATAAAAAAAAACAGATCAACATGGACTTAATGTTGCTCTTGACTTGTTGAGCTTTTTTTGACTGAGGTGAAGAAGGGCTCTTCCATTGTGACAATTGCTGCTTACTTTCAGAGCCATAGCCATAAACCCTACTTTTGTCACCAGTGACAACCTTCGAAAGAAAGTTTGGATCCTCCTGAAGCTGTCATTGAAGTTCCCTGCAGACTTCCAAGAGATGCTGCTTCTGTTCATTTTGCAGCAGTTGTGGCACAAACTTCGCCGCAATCCTCCTCACGTTCAGTTCCTCTGACAAAATTCGTTGACATGTACCATAACTTAGTCCCTAGGTGTTACAGAGGTCTTGGGTGGTCTGTCTACGATCTTGCAGAATCAGATCCCTAACTTTCATGACATTTTCTAGTGTGGTGCCAGTTGACGGCTGTCCTGAACGATCATCATCATCAGTCAACGTTCAGCCATTTTTGAAGCACTTATACCAGTCATAAGTTTGTGTCTGGCCTAAACTGTTGTCACCAAAATCTTGCTTCAACATTTGGTGCATTTCTGCAGCAGTTTTCCCAAGTTTAAAACAAAACTTTATACTGACACGCTGCTCTCTCAGGTCAGCCATTGCAAAACCGCAAACTCATGGAAACACAACAATGGAAATACGTTCACCAACAATAAACCCAACCACTCAACTCGACACCACTTGCAACACTGATTCAAGAAGGTGTGCAGGGAGACACCTAGCGGTATTTCGGCGTACTCATAACCATTTGTGCGGAAAATACAAATTTCGGGAACTTTTGATAGCACCATGTAATTATGTGAAATCTATGCTTGCTGCTCCATCTGATGATTATAAAAGACCAGAAGTTATTGCTTGCAAGTGCAATTTAGTATACGAGTATGGTGGACTCTAATCATATATGCAAATTTGTTACAAAAATTTTCTTCCTTTGTGTGTAAAGATTACAAATACTGTGATAAGACAAAATGTTCGCATAATCTCAGATAACTCTAAGTAATGGAATTCTACATTAACTATATTAAGAGGAAGGAACCAAAATTTATTACCAGAATTTCTTGATATGAACTAATATCACAGTTCATGACTCAGTGGATATATTTAGAATATGAGAAATAATTTCTCAATGAATATTGTTTAATACAAAGGTAACTTAACATTTTATGGTCAAAAAACACTTTAATTTATGTCACATACTTACTGGCATTCGTCTTCTGTAAACTTGCTTTCATCAGAACAGTAGAAGAACTTCCCATTAAACAATTGAACAGCAATGACAGCAAAGATAAATTGGAACAGGATGTACACAATGAGGATATTGATGACGTTCTTCAATGAGTTGACCACACAATCAAATACTGCCTTGAGCTTGGGCACACGTTTGATAGTTTTGAGTGGACGCAGAACTCTCAAAACTCGGAGGGATTTAATAGTTGACAGGTTCTGTCCTGCTTTGCTTCCACTGTAAACATGACAAACAACTATCAGCTTGGATAAAATACCACATGAATATGACATATATTTTGTTTTCACTTTTTTAATTTGTTACAGGAAGGACAGAAATAGGAATAAAAATTTTAGAGAATTTGAATTAAAAATTTATTAATATAATTTTTAAAAAGATAATAACAGTGATTTCACCATGTAAGAACAATGGATGCAAAAAGAATACCTGGAAACCTATTACAATTTAATTTTTAAGGAAAGATGGTTCATCCAGATACTGGAAGACTTCAAGAAGAGAGGAAGATGCTGACAAGAGATTGAAAGGAGTATGTTATGGGAAGAAAGAAGAGATTAAGAACTTTTTGTCCATTGACCTGTATAGGATGCAAATGATGCAGGAAGGTTGGAGACTTCTTTTTTTAAACACTCATTCAAAATCAGAAAGAATGGAGAAAATTACCCTTATGTCATGACTACAACTTAATGGATTACTGGGAAGAAAATTGGATTTCATATTCATATTTGTACTAGAAAATTGCTTTTTGGTTTGCATTCATAATCATACATCATCAGAGAGATTTATCCACTGAACCCCTGTAATTCCAGTGTTTGATAAAACATAGTCTTTGAGGCACTTCTCTAATACAACTGATGAACAGAACTATTTTCCCTTCTGTGTAAGAAAAGTAACATTTAAAATGTACTGACCTTAAATTGAAGCCAAACGAGACAGCAGCACATATTACAACTACAGCATCCATGATGTTCCAAAACTCACGCAAATATGAGCCCGGATGTAAAATGATGCCCAAGTCAAGAATCTGTAAGTATCACAAACAAGATCTCAGTTACTGAACTAGATACCTGAGACTGGAAAACAAAATATTAGCCTACACATATGCACACACATGCATGTGCGTCATATTTCAGTGAACATGAATTAATACTGTATGTAACAAAGGGATGACCTGCTACAGTTCACACCATTAAATCTTTTAACACATTCCAAGTAACATAGTGAGAGCACCTTCTTCATTGAATAAAAAAACACTAAGGAAATTCAATTTGAATTTAATGTCAATGACATATTAAAAACACTGTAATTTCAGTTAAAAGATGGTATGAGCTCACCAATCTGGATTACAGAAATCTTACCAGAATTTAATCACTTAAGAATCAGTGGATGTCACAACATTTAAATGAGATAATTTACATGCCATATTATTAAGGTATTAAGTAATGATGAATATGCACAAATTGGTATTCCAGAATATGATATAAAATTCTGAAATTTTTCAAGAGATTTATAACCCACCTTGAGGATCATCTCAATAGTGAAGACACAAGTGAAGGCATAATCAAAGTACTCAAGGATGGTGTTGCGGGTTGACTCTTCATCCACGGGATCCTCAGCAGCTAATGCGATACTACTTAGACTGATCACGATCATAATGAAGAAGTCAAAGTACTTCATGTTAACTACATAATGAGCACCACGACGAACCCTGGGAGACAATGTCAATTATCAATCACTCTTTCCAACAGAATTTAAAGAAAGGAAATTAAAATTATTTTATTGTGACCAACACTTCAGTTGTTTTCCCAAACTATTTTGTTTCCCCTGTGATCAAAAGAACTAAAATGGGCCAGCATTTTGACATTTCACATGCTGTTCTTTGGTTGTCATGAAACAAATGCAAGCAAAAGGACAAGCACAAAATTCTCTGATCTTTTACAAAGATTTTATAATGGGACACACAGAAGCTTCACAAAGCAGTTCGGCAGAAATTCTACAGATCAAATGTGATGTACTTGTTGGGCCTGTTCTGTAACCCATTTCCTCCAAACTACAGGAAGATGAAAATGGAAATCATGATAAAAAATACCAGAAATTAAGTTCATACTTCAAACTATCTTGTAGGTTATGCCAATCTAGGTAATATATTTTAAATGAACAATAGGCATTACTTAGGTGAAATATCCCTTATGTAGAGATTAAAGGCACCAGTAGAATATTTTTCGCTTCTTGTATCACTAAAATAATTAAATTGTTACTCTCATATAGAAGACTTGTGACAGGTACTTTAAAATATATATGTACATGGAAATGACGTCTATTCTGGTGAAGTCCTATTATCATGCTCTTCTGAACTAAAAAAAAGTGTTCAGTAACTACTGGAACAGAAGAAACAATATTAATATGATACTTGATAACTATGAATTGTATTCTAAGAGGAGTAAAATAATAATAAATAATAAATAAAATAATAAACCTGTAGATGATTGAGTTTTCAGATACTAGGTGAACTATTACATTGATCTTTTTCCCGCTACCTACCATTCTGAAAGATAATACAAATGATAATAAAAATGCATTTGTTCACTTTTTAAATCTGTCACTTATTTCTTTGTCATGGCCGCACCATAGCTCAAGAGGTTAGTCACTAGCTTCGCACCGCAGCATCCCAGGCTTAATCCTGGGTCTGGTCAAGTGGGATTTGTGGTGGACAAAGTGGTGCTGGGGCAGCTTTTTCCGAGTACTTCGGTTTCCCCTGCCAATCTTCATTCCACCAAATTCTCCATCATCATAATCACCCGGGGCAGGCTAAAATAGGCCAATCAGTGGCCGCTGTGCTGAGTGGACCCAGTTGAACTTCACCACCCACTATTTCTTTGTCATACAATTTCACACAGCTTCTTCTACCAGACGTGTTATCATTGCTGCTTACTTTGTGTATCTTGTTCCAAACAATGGAAGTAGCCCGATGACAATTCAATCATGACACTTTGTATTTAATCACTCAATCAGTTTATTAATCCATCCTCTATGGATGGCAGAACCATCTAGCATACATAAAATACCAATATAACCGTATGGTACAGTTCAAAACTAACAAGAAAATTCCCACCATAGAGTTATAATCATTCCTTGCAGAATATAAGAAAGATCTCTGTACAAGTATATTTATATTCATAAAAGGGTTAAATGTGCAACATTACATTAACTAAATTAGTGTAAAATATTAATGTCCTGGTGCTGTAATCAATAAAATTAACATGAGTAAAAAAATACTTACGGATTAGTGGGTGAAAAAATGAACATGGATGAGTATGGCAGCATAGGTTTGGGCCCAGTCATGTCATCATCATCGTCAGTCTTTTTCTCTTCCTCTTTTTTACTGTTCTTCCCCTTGCTGCAAAATAATATAGATATAAAATGTTACCTTGTTATACTGATCATATAAAATGTGTTGTCTAGAATTTTGAGATGTATTAAAGAATACAAGCAAAGTCAGAAATATAGCAATGAAATATACCATCACATTTCATAAATGTACAGGATGGAGACTGGGATTTTGTCTGGGAAAGATGAAGATTGACAGGAAGTCTAAGGATGAGGTAGCATGGCAAAATAGCATTAAACACTGAAAAGAAGAGGAGCCAGAAGACGGGAATTATGGGTACTATATGAAGGCATAAAGAATTTGATTAAATTTTGCTTTGAAATACAGATTCACAAGGACAGCAAAATACACTATTGATGACACTATACTGTGAATATAAACTGATTAAACCAATTATTTATGTCAACGCTTTCTTTATTGCTAGTGGGGTGGGACTAAGAGTAAGTCCCTTGTACTGCGGCCACTTCTGGCCTATTGTACCAGCCCCAGATGATAGATGAGGGTGATTGTGGAGCAATTGGTGGAATGAAGATTGGCAGGGGAAACCAAATTACTCAGAGAAAGCCTGCCCCTGCGCCACTTTGTCCACCACAAATACCACTTGACCAGACCCGGGATCGAACCCAGGCCGCCGCAATGGGAAGCCAGTGACTAACCGCTTCAGCTATGGCGCAGCCTATGTCAATGCTCAACTGTTTACATCATATTTTTAAGAGGTTTAATAGGCATTAAATTTAAGAGCTTGCATTCAACAAGAGTGGAGAGATATGATCCACCTTGCATTATGTGTATCTTCCAAATTTCAGATTGCAGTCTTCTGGGTCATTATATCATACTGTAGGGGTCCACCTATAATACTACACAATGTCAGAACTTGGAAGACTATCTGAGTACTCACTATCATGAAATTCTGAAAACTTACACGTTTTAAATTGTTTTCATTGTGAATTTATATTCCTCACAGGTGTTGATATTCATTTATTAGAGACAGAAATCTAATGCTGCAAAGATAATGAACAATACAGATATCATACAGCATGGATAATGATACATATTTTTTATATATCATTAAGTACAACCACATAAAAATGTAAATAAACTTTGTAGAACTTATTAGCAATGTTCAATTTTCAGGTCATACTGCCAGAGAATTCATTATGATGACATTCCGTTTCCTTATCTTTGCCATAAAATAGTACTCTTAGTTCAAATACTGGAAATTATGTGTAATGTCATGAAACACTGCCTTCCTCGCAACACAGTGGTTCCCTTCCTTAAATTGGAACAAACTTGTAGGATTTGAGGTTCTCCTAATGATGATACAATGCCATTTAGCCTGCAGAAAGTCTACAACATTTTGGAGCTACAGGTTGCCGCCATCTTCAGGGGTGAAGAGCAAGTCAAGCAAGAAATTAGGTCTTCTGGGATGGGAGTAAATGCATTTTAACAATTCAGAGGAATCTGCTCTCTCCTCCAAAACACTGGTACATACACAGTGTGTCCAGGTTCTGTTAGGACTGTGTTCTTTAAAAATACAAGACATAAATTATTTTCAAAATTTCAGTCTTTTTAATCAAAATAGTCTCCTTCTGAATCAATACATAGCTGGAATCAATAGAAAAGTTTTTGAAAACAGTCACTATACTCCTTTTGTGGAATCGCATTTAAAACTGTGGTAGATTCCCTTTGGATGTCCTGGATGGTGTCGTGACGGTCTCCTTTCTTCGCCAACTTAACTTTTGGGAACAACCAGAAATCTGCTGGAGCCAAATCTGGCGAACACAGAGGATGATCAAGGACTTCAAACAAAATTTGATGTTGGCTCTCTATTCAACCGCATCAGAACAGTACTGTTACATTCAAGGTCAGAACACATGATGCTGCGATGCTTGCGATTTTAAATTATAGACAGCCACAGCTGAAAATTCAAGAATCTTAACGCCACAACTCACCCACAGATGGCATTGCAGGGCAAAATTTAAAAAAATGATCCTGGACACACTGTGTATCCATGAAGCTACACATTATCACATCCCAGAAGACCACAATATTCATATTCACAGATGTGAGAATTTAAAATCTCAACTTGAGGTTCATTTATTACCTTTGGCCCTAAACGATCTTGATAATTACAACTACATCACAATTTTTCATCACATCAAATTCCAACACACCAAAAACAAAGAGCAATAGAGCAACTTATAAACAGTGTGAAAAATAACATATAATTACACTTACAAATTGTTGGTAGGGGAAGGGGGACAAATTTCCACTTTTGGTGGTGAGCCATCACCTCCACCCATTAGCTGTAATGCCTCCATTTCCTTCACTAATTCTTGCTGTTGTTTCTGTAAATAATGTATTCGGTGTCATGAGTAGGTACATTTATTCATTTACATCTGTCCATTAAACACATGATACACTTCTTATGTGATGAAATATATACCATATTTACCTAATTATAGACCTTTTTACTTATCGTCTGAAAAATGACAGGCCCCTAACCTAACCTATAACCTATAACCTAAAGGAGAATACTTCGTTAGAATTCATTTTTACTTTGCCAGTAGTACTAAGAATTCATTGCCACATATTTAGTAGGGTTATCACTGTTATTTAAAGTGTGGGCAGACAATCCTTTGTGTCACAGGTAAACCAGAATAAAATGTAAATCTTCACCACTGCAGAATCTTCAGTCCAGAAAGCATCAGCAGTGTTATTCTCAGTGACTCTTAATTGTACAGCAGTCCCTCACCTCTTTATCTTCTTCTTCTTGTTCCTCTTCAGCAGCTGTCAGCTCCTGTGCATTGGCCAAGTTATCAACAGCAATGGCCAAGAACACATTAAGCAGTGTATAGTTACCAAAGAGCACCAGGATGATAAAGTAGAGAGAATAAATCATGCCTCCACCACCTTGTGACCGAATCCCGAAGTACATGACTTCATTCCAGTCCTCCCCAGTCAAAATCTGAGTAAACCACAAAAAATCATCAAACACTTCTTCCTCCTCTTACTGCTGCCCATACTACTAGTGCTGCTGACTTCAATTTTGACTTTTTTTTGGCCTGAGGTTTTTTAAATCATAGTCAAATAATGAATGGGATTGTTTAAATTTTGATCAGGCTTTCATTTTCTGTGAACAACACTGAAAATCTGTCAACAAATGCCCATGTCCTAAATGGTGGGGATATGAAATTTTGTCTTTGGTCTGCTTTAATTCCTTGATCTGCTTTTTTTTGGCTGACAGTCACTTAAAACAAGCAAAGAGCTTAAGATTATAGGGATAAATGGCAAAATCTAGGGAATCAGATGTATAATTATATATCTATGTAAGTAATAGAAGTTCAATAAATATTTAAAGTCAACACATCACTATTGCTGCATAGTATAATCTGAGGCCTCTGAATATTATGATGTGGAGGAACATGGAACATTTGTGCCCACTAATTATACAAATTAATTTCAGACACTGACTTAAATAACCCATTCAAAAAATATGACTCAGACAATATCGCTTGTCTTGTTTGTGACTATTTATTTAAATAATCCATAACTACACTCTTACAATATTCAATATAAAGACAAACAGCCACAGTACATTTAATTCATATTACAGAAAGTACTATCTCCTTGGATGTTATCTACATTTTGGAAGAAGATAGTGCCTCTATCCTCAGGATAGAAATGTAAACCAAGCAGGTAAACAAACAAGCAGCAGGAAGCAAGCACAGCCGCATTTTAGTTGCTACTTGATACCTGTTGGACTTATTTTTTGACCTTGAAATGGAGAGAGTACATTTCTCTGAAATGTCAGTAAATTTTTATGAGGCAAGAGCATCACATCCCATTGAGACAACAAAACTCATAAAATTATAGTAATTTAATAATTAATACATTAAGTCAATGAAGTTCTCAGTCAGAATAAATGAGTACAATTGTGAATCAGACATGTGCCTAGACATGCACAGAAGCATTCACAGCTGGAATTGAGTTTTCTTACTGAAATAAAAATAAATATCTACTATAATTCAAATTTCTGATCCATCTTTATAGTTGTAAGTGCTGCTGAATTCCTGACTTTAAAGACAACTTACTTGGAAGACTGTGAGGAGTGCGATGGGAAACGTATTGAAGTTGGTAGGCGGTGTCCCTTCCTCAAAATTGAACTGACCACCAAACAGCTGCATACCGAGCAGGGCAAAGATAAGAATAAACAGGAAGAGCAGGAACAGGAGGGAGATGATGGAACGCATTGAATTCAGCAATGATATCACCAGATTGCGCAGTGATGCCCAGTACCTGGAAATCATTACAGATTCATAAATTTATAGGTTCACTGTACACAGAAAGAAATAAATTACTGCTGATTGGTGACTTATTACAATTAGACAATTTAAAATCATAAGTTATTTTTTTTAACCATTGTATGACCATTTAAATGACCTGCTGTGAATGGAATATCCTTTTGAAGCTGAAATATGGCTTTTTTCTAACCTGCCACAAGTTAGCTAAATGATAAAAAAAGGCTATATCCCTGCTATGACTCATAAGTGAAAATAAACAATGAAAGGCAAGATACCTTATGGACTAGTATGCACCACCATTATCTGTCACGAGTCTCACATGACATTCCTGAATACTAAGTTAAATATCACATTTAAACACTTTTACATGTTAAATAATTTCTGTATTAATATCTGATTTACTGCAAGGAATGTAAGTATTACTCCAATTCTGTTCAAAATGTAAAAATGCTGGGGGCTGAACGGAAGGGGACAAAAAATAGATCATTGATGGTCATGGTGCAGGGTCTTGTTAAGGCCTACTCCTTATTAATTCATCCATTCTTCCAACAATAAACCAAAATTAAAAAACAAGTCTCCTTAGAGAAGTGACAAAACTTCTAGATAATTTCATCACATTCATTCTGTTCAAGACAATGAGAAGTATGTCATTTTTCTAATGCATATCTAATTCTATAAACATATGAGTGTGTTTACCATGTCTGCCCAGATATAAGCCGCATTTCAAAAAAAATTATATAGTCTTGAAATGAGAAGAATATTTAATGTACTTATACTGCTCCTGCAGCAACCAGAAGTCAGAGTAATCATGTTTTATATTGCTCCATACAGTAACACAATACTTAAACCATATTCATTTAATTTTTGGGGTTGATTTAAGGATCTAATAATGAAAAAAAAAAAAATAGGTATGATGCATTTCCATTAGGACTGTGCTAGTCAGTAATAATGGTTCAAATCAAATTGACATCAGTGTAATTTTTAACTGACGCTAGGTATCATCTACTGATCATGAAAATGAACTATTTACTTTTATAGGATACAGATAATCTAATGATGTTCCTTTTCCTGAAGAATCAGTCATGAGCAACACCATGATTTCAAAAGCATCAATTCTACTTATATTTGAGCAAACTCAATATATACATTTCATACAGTTCATTCTGTTTCACACCATTTTCTTATAATTGTTATGGAACTCATACACATTACAAAACAACATTTAGTGTTGTTATCTATCATATTGTATTATCATTTCCAGAATAAAGCATATTATTAGTGATGAAATAATACATTAAGAATTATATAATTCAAGTCATGAATAGTTTTAAATATTTAGTCTTTCCATTTTTTCAATAAAGATTATGAAATACAATTCTAGTACAATCTGCCAGTAAAAATATATGGGTAGAAAATATTTTGTTTAATATTCATCAAAATATACTACATATTAAAATAAAAAACTGATTAATCTTGAGTTTATATTAGTAATTTATTTGTGATACAGACATTTTATGTTAATATTATGGCATATTGACTCAAAGAAATAATTGTGGAGTCACAACAGCTGGCCATTATAAGGCAGGGGCCTGTAAACAACAACAGAGAAATGTTGTTTTCTGCACAGGTTGTGCTAACAGCTGTGCATGCAACAATGGAATGGTGTTTTCCATGGGGTCCATGCCAAGATGTTAAAAGCAGGGCCAGTTAGCTTAGTTAGTATGAAGAGGCTTAAACTTGGCAGTGGTCAATCTTATGACCATTCAAGTGACTAAGCTGCCATTGTAACACAAGATAAGTAAGGCAGACATGATCTGCATTACAAAACCTGGACTGACAGAGGACTTGCATATAGTGCATAAAGAAGAATTTTCAATAACATTCTATATGTGCAACACATACACTTGACAAAGTTGAAGGTTAATCATAAGAGACTACCCCATCCTCAGCTCAGACAGGATATTACATAAGGACCATGACTGCATGGGTTCAATTGTAAGAGAGAGAAAGAGAAGGAGAAGAAAGATCATGATCCTAAAGGGTCTTGGCGCCAAGACAAACTGATTGGCAGCATACCGTCAATCATAAAGTAACTCTCTCTCCTCCTCATCCTCTCTAGGAGGACTGCTGCAATTCTGTTATTGTGAGTGGTTGCTGTTAGGAGCTGGTAGATGAGCCTGGGGAGATTTTGGGAACCCAGAGAAAGGGGAACACCTGCCATTAGAAGCTGCTACCAAGCAATGGCAGTGAAGATGTGACTGTGGGCACTAGTGTGTGTGTGTGTGTGTGTGTGTGTGTCTGTGTGTGTGTGTGTGTAATGGTGAACTGTAAAGTGTAGTCACAAGCTGTATCAAAGTTATCAATCCAAAAACCCATCAACAGTCTCAATCCAAACATGTGACAATATGCATCTCTGCAAAAATACTGCTACCTGATTATCTATTATTTTTGTGAGGAATTAATTAAGTAAACAGCCATATTGGTGACCTATCCTCATTGTGAGTTGGGATTTGTAACATAATGATACGTCTTAGGAGCAATAACTAAGACTATGCTACGTAATAGGGGGTACGCGGTAGCGTGGTTGGTTGAGGGGCTATGCTACAAGCTGGAAGGTCGCGTGTTCAAGTCCCGGTGAGGTCATTGGATTTTTTTCAATTGACCTAATCCTTCTGGCCGCGCTATGGCCCTGGGGTTCACTCAGCCTCTAACAGAAATGAGTACCAGGAATTAATTAAATAATTTTCCTGGGGAGTAAAGCGCGACCGGCGTGTAAGGCTGACAACCTTACCGCCATCTTTGAGCCGACTGTCTAGATCAGGGGTCTCCAAACTTTTCGAAACTTGGGCCACATTAGGTAATTCAGCACATTCAATGGGCCGGATAAAATGAGAAATTAATAACTCTAAGTATACATATATGAGTTTTATTGAAAGCACAGAATTTCATAAACTAAACACAAAGTACATGAGAATAAATTATCGTATATTAATGACAACAGACAGTAGCAGCAAATGCTCATATTTTCATCACAAATTATAATAAAATAATTAATGTGAATGATGGAACTCTTTTTGCATTCTTAAAATCTGATTAAATTGAGGTTCAAATTTTGAAACGCTAATCACAAGTAGTGACTTTAAATGTTCATCGGATAAATTTGCCCTGTATTTCGACTTGATGTACTTCATCTGGGAAAAAGTTTGTTCACACAGATATGTCGCCCCAAAAATGGAGATAAATTTACAAGCAAATTTCTTTAAATTTGTAAATTGCTCAGAGTTCAGAAATTTATAAAATTCGATCAAATTTCTTTCCCTGTATCTGTCTTTAACATATGATAATTTTCCTGAAATTCATTAATTTCCATTTGAATTTGACTTGGGACATCTGCAGCATCACAGTCAAACGGATTTTGAAACAATCTAATTTCCTGAGCACTGGCATCCAAATCAGCAAATCGCTTCCGAAATTGTTCTTTCAAATCTGAAATGACTAAATTTGCAAACGAGGAAGGAAATTCTGCTTCACCCTTTTTATGCAACTCTGCACAGTATAGCATATGAACAAAGTTACAATTTTTCACTTGGCTTTCCAGAAGTATCAACTTTGCTCTGAATGCCTTGATAAGTGCAAATAAATCACAGACTAAGTTATTTTCACCCTGCAACTTTAAATTCAAATTGTTAATATGGTTCACCAGATCAGCAAAGAATGCTAATTTCCAAAGCCATTTGGTATCTGATAAAAGTGGTTCGTAATGGTTTTTCTCGGTAAGAAATATATCAATTTCATTCCTGAGCTGAAAGAAGCGCGAAAGAACCTTTCAATAGCTAAGCCATCGAACTGCAGTATAATATGTCAGGTCAATAAGCTCGGAATCACATTCGTCGAGAAAAGACCGAAACTAGCGATGGTTAAGTGCATGACAGCGAATGAAATTAATGATAGAAGTAACAGGTTTTAAAACAGAGCTCATATCAATGTGTTTTGCACAGAGTGCTTGTTGGTGGATAACACAGTGAAGAAATATTGGCTTTGATATTCCTGCATCCTCACAAGCTTTTGTGATTTGGCCAACCAAACATATTTTTATACCAGACATGTTTTTTCCTCCATCAGCTGTCATGTACTGCAGACGGTTCCAGTCCAAATTATATTCTGTTAGTGTTTTTTGTATTTCTTTGAAGATATCATCTCCTGTTGTAGTGCCATGCATGCTGTGAAGTGACGCTAATTCCTGTGTGACATTAAGTTCATTGTCGATGCCGCAAAAAAATACTAATAGTTGAGAGGTATTACAAACATCAGTTGAAATCTATGAGCAAGTACCGTATTTACGCATGTATAGGCCGCACATTTTTTGCCAAAAATTCAAGAGGAAAACTGGGGTGCAGCTTATATTCGAAATCACACTTCATTTAAAAAAAATTATATTCATAATTAGTAATACAGGGTGTAAGACTCCTGAAATAATATTCCAAGAAAATTATATTTTCTATAATTTCTCTCTGAAAATTGTGCTGCGGCCTATACACGCGTAAATACGGTATTTTGTTTACCAGTACTCATTGCAAAAATTAGTTCAATTGGCACATTTCTGCACAATTCTTTCTCGGGCCGGATAAAATCACATCGCGAGCCGCATGTGGCCCGTGGGCCGTAGTTTGGATACCCTTGGTCTAGATAATGTGGGACCCTCAACGTCTCACAACCCTATGGGCCTTCGCAGCCTGGTACAGGGATAGCTTTACTTATTTTACTTTTATGCTATGTAATACATTTACCACTTAACATTAATCTGAAAAGGCTGAAACTATTGTAGAAAAGTACATTTAATTAAAGTATGCAAGAATATTTAACATGTTTTATTTGTGTCTGTGGTGTATGTTTCTATATATGAAGATGACAGCGAAGAAGAAGAAGAAGAAGAAGAAGAAGAAAAGATTATTTTGAATGGGAAAGGGGAAATATGGTTTAATATCTGATCTGAATCATGATGGGGCATGGTATTCTCCACACACACGTGTTCTTGTTTATGTTAAAGGCGAGGGAAACTGTGACTACACTGTGAGGTTGGCAGCAAACACGATACTTTCTTTATGGAGGACCATTGCCTGTATCCCTGGGTGACCAGGCAGTATTTAACGACTTTTTGATGTTCCAGTATAACAGAATACTATAGCATAAAATATCTCTCAGTAGAAAATTTAAATATGCCAAAAAAGAAAACATGTACAAAAAACTAAAACTAATGTAATTTGCTTTTCTGCTCTAATATTTCAGTAATTTGGAGCTAAGCTTCTCAGATGAGAAACATGTTGCAAAAGAGCCAGCCTCATAAAGAAAACTTTGGATAAGTGTACTCTGAAGACAATAGTCATGACATATTATACCATACAGTATTTAAAATTTTAGTACAATTCGTCATGGTACCATACTTATGACAACTGGCAAGGTAGCTACAAAATACAAGAACAGAATATTTATATGGGCTAGACAAGTAGGCTTCAGAGTTATACAGTGTAACTAACTTTGTGGTGAAGGGTCTTCCTTGCACCCATGACCATTCAACTCCCCAAGAAATTACAGAATTGCTTTATGGAAGTCAAAGGTTTTATGATATCCAAAAAAGCACAATCTTTTATCTTTGTAAGATTAATTGCAATATTAACATCCCACCCTTGTCTATCCCCTCAAGAGTTCAATGTCCTTGAGGTTACTGACAAAAATGTCGTATGAGCTGCTTCATTGTATCAAGACCAGTGTAAGGCCAACTCAAATTCCAACAGAAAACTGGCAGAAATAGAGTTCATCAAAAATACCACACCTCAGTAACTTGAATCATTTTCGAGAGACAGCTACATTTATAATTAGACACTAAGTTTGACAGATTAGCAATATGCTGCTCCTACATAGGTCTAACATTGGCAAAGCATGCCTATTAAAAATCATCACCAAAATACCCAACCCCCTTTTTTCTTCAATTGGTACCATAGGGTCACAATAATACACAGCTATATATTATTCTGAATTGTCTTTAATGCAACAAAGGGAAAATCCTTTGAAATAAACAATTTCCATCTCTAGCTTCCATTTTCATAGATAATATCTCCACTTAACCACTCTTATACACATTAAATCACAATTTTACTGAATACACAGTCATCAATAGAAATTTGTTTCTGGCAAAGGCAGAGACTGCAGTAGTGGCTGAAACATGGGTACTTCACTATGCTACAAAGTTATTTTTTTTGCAAAGGTTGAGACTATAATGCCAAATGAAACATCTTTCTTGCAACTATGTACTATACAGCTTTTGTTGGGGACAGTCAGGATATTCAACACACAAATATAATATGAATTTTGCCATGCATTCTAGTAATGATACATGTTTCTATGCTTCTTTGTAGACTAACCTCCCTATTAGCTTCTAATAAAGGCTGTGTGTTCTTTATAATTAACCATGACCTTTTTTTTATTGCTAGTGGGGTGGGACTAAGTCCCTTGTACTGCGGCCACTTCTGGCCTGTTGTACCAGCCCTAGATGATAGGTGAGGGTGATTGTGGAGCAATTGGTGGAATGAAGATTGGCAGGGGAAACCAAAGAACTTGAATAAAACCTGCCCCAGCTTCACTTTGTCCACCACAAATCCCACTTGACCAGACCCGGGCCGCCGCGGCGGGAAGCCAGCGACTATACGCTTGAGCTATGGCGCAGCCAACCATGACCTAAAATATTATTATATACTGCTAGGGTAGTGATTTATGCTGTTATAAGCACTTTTTGAACACACATGCACAGACAAATATAAAGAACAAGTTAATTACAACAGTTTGTTTAAAAGTATATTCAATTGAAACCACTCATTACATGTGCAACTGTGATAATTATGACGTATGGAATAAAGAGGTGGAATTTTACTAGTCAATAGCAATAACATATGTAATTTTCATTCAAACAGCAAAAATGGTACAAAATATTATCGTTGGTTGAAATATTTTTTATGTTTCATGTAATACAAATTTTACATACAGACCAAGACACCAGTTTTGAAAGAAGGAAGCCATTCATTTGAAGTTAATCAGGTTGAAGGATAAGAAGAATAATTAGGCACATATGTTACAAACAGAAAGGCAGCACTGTAACTGTGACCAAAACATTGCAGTCTTACTGTCGGAGGGTAGGAGTTTAGTTACAAAGCAACTGGTGTGGCTTGTGGTACATGACAAATGAATTATGATAACAGAAATATTTTTGGATAAACCACTGATCAGACAGAAGAGCTATGGGCAACAGAATTGTGGAAGCAAAATAAAAATAACCCAAAACAGGCTAGATTAACATTTGATTGGATAAAGCAAAAAAAAAATGATATGTCCAGGAACCATAACAATTACTGAAACACTGTAGTTAAGCACACATAATGTGGCATGCTGATAGACTGTAAGTTCTTCTACACAATTTGGGTGAAACACTTTTTCAAACGTTGAAAATGATTACTAAATTAATTAATTGGTAATCTATAAATTCTCTCAACCATTGCACAAAGTTTAAGGATCAAGAAGAAAGTAAAGACAGTAAGTGCTTCTCAGATAATCACTTACTCATAACCAATGGATATTTGTTATATATGCATTATACATCTTTCCTTTTCAATAATGTAACCAACTAACTCTCTGCTAGCACAACCCAAAAGTTCATCAGTACTAATATAGAATACTGCTACTGGTCACAGTCCTGAATAGCTACAGCAAAGCCTTGCTTTGTGGATATTTTCCATGAATTTAGTATCTTGGTGTAAATATAGCTGTCTTTCCAGAACTTATAAAAATATTGTTGTTATATGTTTTCATAAACTTTGTTTTTAACAATTTACCATTGAAATTTGAACACACTTTATGCTAGTTATAAGTAGTATCCATATAGATATCCCACTTATTTTAATATTTATTACTTAATTATAATATATTCTTCTTTGACGTAGTTTTCTTCAGTTCAGAGCTGCATTCCAAAGCTGCAGATATGCTTCCTTTTCTCATTTGTTCACTATTTACACTTTGCACAAATCACTTTCACTTTAAAATTTGACTGGTCTCTAATCTTGTTGATATCCTAGTCTTCTTTCTTCACTTCCCTATTTAAGGATATTAAGGCTCAGACTCGACTGAATTTAACACCACTTTCACTACTGTTTTCTTATTTACAATGGCCCTTATAAGAATGACATTATGTTTTACAAACACAAGAATTTCTGGAAAAAGGTAGATAAATCACTGCACTGTCAAAATTACTGTCACATTTGGCTCAATTCAACATGGAAGTAAACTTACAATATTATTCAAAGTCAAAATATAAGTTGTAAGCTCCATAATGCCAGAAACATTATAAAATTTGCTTCATACCCTTGCCAGTATGCACCAGAGACACAGCTATTAAAATGACGTGCAAGAATTGTGGAAGAGATTTTAGTTGGATTTCAATCTTCACTCTGAATTACATTCAATTACATTGTAAAATAGAGTTGTCCCTGTACTTAATTATATAATTAAGCACTATTCTATGAAGGCAAATAGTAAACTTTCATTTCATAATTTCAGTACCACTCCTCTATTCAAAAATTTGGCTACTATATATTGTGATATTAACAAAGAAAGCAACCATACCCCTGGCAAAAAGTGTGACTGCTTATTTAATAATAAAACGGATTAATGTAAGAGAAGTTGGAATAATGGATGCATAGTACAAGATCCTTAATGGGATAAGTGTTTTAATTATTTTGCTGATTTGAACTACATACACATAATCATTTCAGGGAATAATGAATATTTTATTAAGTTTTGCTCTTTTGTATGGCCTGGCTCTGATGTCAGACTGTAGGTATTTTATCCAATATTTAGTTTTATTTGAATATAAACTACAATTTTGAGAATTCATTCAAATATATTCCAAAAATGTCAGATATTTTCAATAAAATTTCCGATTATTGTCATTCTTAAACACACCATTTTTTCTGAAGAAATAACTAAAATCTTAAGCACCACATAAGGTAACTAAACATTCATGGTGAATGAATATTTCTGACTGCATATATAACAGGATAAGAAAACACATAACCATGAAAATGGTCATGTAACTAACATCGATGATCAAGCCGCATATGACATGTATATGAAGCACTTATCACTAGACTCAAATCGCAATATCACTTATGACGGAGAATAAACCAAGTGAAAGGAGAGAGGGGTGGGGTAGTCACAACTTACTTTGTGACTTTGAATATCCTGAGCAAGCGTAAAGCACGGAGCACTGACAGGCCGAACGAGGCCTGTTTCACTTCGGTCCAAATCACTTCAAAGATGGAGCCACAGATCACAACACAGTCAAAACGGTTGAACGATGACTCAAAATAAATACGTGGCCCCAGAGCATACATCTTGATGAACATTTCCAACATGAAAAGGCCAAGGAACACAAATTCTGCTATATCTGCAAAATAAATAAATATTTTATTAAAGGGCATTCCAAATAAGGAGATAACTAGTTCTTTGTTTACTTAATGACACTTTTTCAACTGCAGAGGTTTTGTTATGTCAGAGTAACTGTCCATAAAATTAATTGGTAAAGGTCAGCAGGAAGTGGACATCACATATTATACAATAGTTATAACATCATTTGCTCAGAGGAACTGAGGTAAAATAGATGATCTCTGGGGCTAGATTCGAATCTGTGACCTCTCAAATACAAAGCTGGAGTAGTAAACAGTTGAGATGTTCAGTTTCATTATAAGGTGAAAAAATAAAATAGAAGGAAACCTAACAAACCTACCTAACAAACAAACTCCATGAAGCAAAATTTTTCCTGATAAACCAAAGCTCTTTCTATTTAAAAGGCCAGCCTTTTTCAGGGCAACAAAATCCAATTCATTCTGTACTACTCCAATTTATTTGCTCTTAGCCCCCAGAATTTATTTCCCCTTCCCTACAACACTGGTCATTTTTCCAGGCTGCTTACTCTTCTACCATATAGATGAAAGTGAATGTCAGTAAATATGTATCAGTTTACATAGCATTATTTCCCAAGAAGGTGGTAATCTTCATTTTGCATACTGCTTTTCAGTTGCCACAACAGAACAAACATAAAATTTGTTGTTCTAATACCTAGGAGCTGAAACTTGATATTTGAAAGCTTGGTTGCACAGTTCAACAGAAATTCCATAGATGGAATACCTTGCTCTTAAAGCATTAAAAGATGTCATTAAAAGACACGAAAACAGAACCAAAGTGTGAGTGCATCAGAAGTTGCTGTACACGACAAAGTTTTGCCATGTGAGATGTAAACACAATGTGACAAAAACTATGGATAAATAATATTCTCAAATCAGATTTTAGAGCATTGATGATGTTTGAAGCCACTATTTAAAGAGTTACAAAAATTTTTAATTTTAATTCATTAAATAAAAGAACAGCTCAATATGCTGTGTTGTTAGATATTGAAATGGTAACCAAGTTTATGCTGTGACTTTACAATTCAAGGTTATGACAAAAGAAGGATAATAACATACTACCTGAAGTTGCTATCACTGTGATAGCTGAGTTAGATAGGTTATTTGGTTAGTTCATGACAATTAATCAACCTGCTGATCTTACATTGTGTGGAATGAGATGTCAAGAGTACGGTTATGCCTTATCAATTGGGAGAGGGAAGAAGATTGTTAAAAGCTTCCTTCTGTATGTTCTGCAATCCTGTAGTCAGTCAGAACAAAGCATACTTGATACTGGGTCCATTATATTCAGTATCATAATTATGAATCTGAAACCCATTTGACAAAGCTAATCATTGATTTTCAATAAGGATAGGTATGGATCATGTCCAAAAACTTGTTAAATATAAAGCAGTCTTAAGGGTAACCACTTACACAGATGGATCCTGAATTGATGTGTGGAATATATTGTCATAAACATGTAAGAGATTCATATATGTATGTATGAAGATAACTACTCACATAAGAATTCAGTGAGCCAGTCTGGCTGGCCATAATGTTCCACTGCAGTGCACATTGTGTTGAAGAAAACAAGCACAATGACAAACCAGTAGAAGCCCTGTGTTTTTACTGTGTGACGGATCCAAAACCTATAAATAATACATTCACAACTTAAGAACAATAAGTTATAATTTTATAAACCTAACCGTTATTACACTATTGACTATAATCCTAATATCATATGAGCAATGGCCTAGTCTTAACAGTGAGAGGACTATAAAACAGTAACAAAGACCATGACAGAAACAAAGTATTGTCACATGTCAAGGGTGGCGTGAAGAAAATAACGGATTCTAGTTCAGATGATTGGATTTCTTGGCACCTCAGTTACTATCTCTTAATTACAATTAATGCAGTGTTATAGCTCATTTATACAATTTACAATTCACCATTGCACATGTGCTATGATTCTGTTTCAACTAGTCACCTCCTAGCAGTGGATCTCACTTCAAATCACTATGGAGTCTTTTTGCCTGCAATCATTTTGTACTCCTCTGTCCTAACCTGTACTTAACTAATCTTCATAATTCACTAAGGACATGCTCCATTCTCGTCCTTGTGCTCTCAACTGCCTTGAAGCTTCTACTTCAATCCTCCAACTTTTAAATAAAATCCTGGCGCATGAACAACATGGATTTCGTACTAAATTGTCCACGGATACGGCCACTCATGACTTAATAAATACTATTCTATCAGCATTAAATAACAAACTAGTTGTAGGAGGTTTGTTTTGCGATTTGACTAAGGCTTTCGATTGTGTAAATCATGAAATACTACTTGCAAAACTGGAGTTTTATGGTATCAATGGTTTAGCAGGAAAGTTGCTCAAAGACTATTTGACTGATAGGCAGCAAAGAACAATATTGAATAATAACACTGAAAGTGGTGTTTCTAAATGGCAAAAGGTTAAACAGGGTGTCCCTCAGGGTTCTATCCTGGGGCCATTGCTCTTTTTAGTATATATTAATGATTTACCATATATAATAAATAAAGTGTCAAAGCCAGTTTTATTTGCGGATGATACCAGCATATTGTGTTGCAAGTCGAACTACAATGAACTTGTTATTACTTTAAAAGAAATTCTTGAATTAATTAATGTATGGTTTTCTATTAATTCGTTAACTTTGAATCTGACAAAAACAAATTGTGTCCAGTTTTCATCAAAACCTAATTTACCAATAGATATCAATATAAACCATGGGGATATCCAAATTAATAACACGAGTACACTGAAATTTCTTGGAATAACAATTGACAGTACTTTATCATGGAAAGAACACATCAAATATACAGCCAGCAAATTAAGCTCGGCTAGCTATGCCATCAGAATCCTAACTTCAGTTATGTCCCTAGAAAGCCTATTGATGACTTATTATGCCTATGCCCATTCTATCATGTCATATGGTATAATATTCTGGGGTAATTCAACTAATAGTGACCAAATTTTCATAATTCAAAAAAGAATAGTTAGAATAATAATGAGAGCGGGTAACAGGGACTCTTGTCGACCAATTTTCAAAGCATTAAACATTCTTCCATTCTATTCACAATATATTTTCTCAATATCTGTTTTTGTGGTTAAGAATATGGACAAGTTTGTAACAAATTCAGATATTCATGGCATGCACACTAGACGGGGTTTAGATTTACATTATCCAACCTGTAAACTGACTAAAGTGCAAAAGGGAGTGTTTTATAGTGGGATTAGGATATTTAACAACTTGCCATGTAGAATTAAAAGCTTGTCAGAGGACATTAAGAAATTCAAATATTCCCTAAAAAAATTTTTGCAGGTGGGCTCTTTTTATTCCTTACATGAGTATTATGAATGGAAATCAAGGAATGATTGTGCTTCCTATAGATAAAGATTGCGCCTATTATTTGTCACATCTAGAATATAATATTATCTGTCTGGTTTTGTTTATAATTGTTGTGAATGGCACCTGATTTTTGACGTTGTTTGTTTCGGTGTCGTGTCTGTGATTTGGTTTGATGTGTTACTTGTTTGTGTTCTACAACTGTTAATGTACTACAATTATATGTGGCCTTTTTAAATGTCTTGGATATTTAATTTTTAACAATTTATCATTTTAAATGTACTTTTTATTGACATGTTCTATATCTCAAGGCAGCACTGCCAATTGTAGATCTCTGGAACGAAATAAATATGTATGTATGTATGTCTGCCCATAAACAACTTTTGCTGTCCCCCACAAACCTTCAGCGTGGACCTACAGAAAACATATCATGTGGTCTCTATTCACTGTTGTGTGACATCACTGTCTATGCAGAATTGTGTTTATCGAGCCATTGCCTAGAAACAGCTTGCATAATCCTGCTGTTCTATTGTTGTGAGTGTGTAATGCAGGGTGCTTAATGAGCCATTGCATGACAATGTGTTGAAATGTCACAATATAAAACCAGACTCTTGTAGTTTACTCCCAGTGGCTTGTTTGACTCAAAGTAATGAGTATTATTCAAAAGTCTGGAGTAACAAAAGAGGTTACACTAATAAAGCCTACTGTTGAGCGCAGATAACTTGAGTACTGCAAATAGTGGTATTTCGTTCAAACTGTAACTACACAATGTGAAGTATTGTGGAAATCATGTATTAGCAAATGTACTAGTGTGTGATAATGTAGGATACAAATATATAATTTTAAAACTTGCCTTAAGCGTTTCTCTGCTCTCCAAAATTGGAGACATGCTCCTTTACTTCTTACTTTCGATTTCAAATAGGAAGCTCGAGAAAGCCCTGTCAAGTAAACAACAGAAAACCATTAACATTTAAACCAACCTGAACCACTTTTCTGCTCTCCAAAATTAGAGATATGGTCCCTTGTTTCTACTTTGCTTTGAAAAACGAAGTCTGAGAAAACCCTGTCAAGTAAACAACAGAATCACATTAACAATTTCAATTACAAAATTTATTCCATTTTATACATATATTGGCAGCACTTCATGCCCGCTTCTTGAAGAAATATAAAAGAATTGTTTCTATTTATTTTCATAGATGAAGCTATCATGGCACAGTTGTTCAGGAATCATTTTCTGGTATCTGACAAAAGCCAAACATGTATCAAGTACACCAACCAGTACTAAAACTTCTCAGTACAATGTCAAATAGTGAGAAAAAATTGATCATGATAAAATATAATTTGGAATACACTGTTATGAGAATATAATATTGATAATATCCATTGAAACTTGTTATTAAAGACATTTGTTTTATGTTACTTAATTAGTGATTAGATTTCTAAGCAATAAATATTATACCATGTGTCGACTTCTGAGACAGTTAACTCTCAAAAATATATGGGAAGAATTTTAAAGTCAGATGAAGTAATGCACTGCTATTTTGACTGCAACATTGTGCAAAAACATTTTTGACCAAGCTTTAAGTATTTCAAATATTTTTAAACCATGAGCATATTCTTATTTACATGTAGTTGGTTCACACATTTCAGTATATATATTTGGTTTTCACTGATAAGGACAAATCCCTTTTATGTCATGTGTCCCTATTTAACAATAAAACTATGTGCACATTTTACAATATTTGGAATATTATTTTTTGACATATTAGCATTTATATGCATATTCCAGTGACTGAACTTAACAATTTCAAGATTAATCATGAATATCTCATATTTGTCTAGTGTGTTTGCTGGGCCAACCCTGAATATATTATTCTCATTTTCAGTTTGTTACTTTATTTCTTATATTCATGCTCAATATATATTTTAATTTTTGTGCATGTTCCCTAGATGCATATTCAAAGAGGTTATATGTAATTATTTTTCCAGGGAAAGCTGAGAGAATAACAAGAAAAATGCAGTGGTTTAGGTGCACGTGCTCAAACAATTTGGTATGTAAGGTATATCAGTAATTTAAAAAAATATGAAGATGAAAGGGTTAAGATTTGACAACTTCTCATAAATGCTATTGGTATGAGAATGAATGAATGAGTGGAATAAGTAAAATTTGATTTTTTATCACACAACCCACTACCATCAAAAATCCTTAAAAAAAATAAAATTCCATGAAAATTGACAATTAAATAAAATAAACAAATACACTCTGATATGCAATCATAAGAGATTATACAAAATAAGTAACTACATATACAAGATATTTATTCAAAAGCAGATATTTTGTTTCACCTCCTTCAAAAATGATGCTGCAAAAAATATTGGTCAAAATGTACTGAAGGTTTGATCATCAACCAGTTTACTTTTACTGTAAGTCTTGCAGTGAAATAAATTCAGGTACATATTCATTTGTCTGACTGTGATAACAACTGTACACAATTGCAAATGCGCAATTAACAGTGCCACAGTTAATTCTCTAATATATCTTGTACTTCACTCCAGTGTCAAATGAGAGTCAATTGAGTTGACTGTAAAGGACACAGGTATTTCTCTAATCAGTACTGATGAAATGCTACCCATATATCATGAAACATGCGTGTTATAGTCAGTAAGAAAAAATTAGAATCCAAAGGCATTTCTCTAGCATGCATTACTGAGAATATAGAAAACAGATTCCTGAACTACCAGATCTAAGATACCTTTAGTGTATAATATTTTTCAACTTCTTAATAATAATAATAATAATAATAATAATATATTAAGACTGTACTAGTCTATATATCAGAGAAATATATACTGTGGTATATGATTACACAATAAGAATTCAGCAACCATTATAAATCCTCAAAACACTCATTCCAAAGATTGAACTGCAATCACAAATAACAACTGCAGAAATACTTAATAATGAATATAGTTACCATAAAAAATTGATATTTTATGAAGTATAATATGTGTAAATATAATGCACTACAAGTATGATAATTTACACACGCAGTCCATCGTTTTCAAAATTACACAAATACATACAGATAGATTCCTACAAGCTAAGAAATTCTAACTCTAACATATTTAAAGAAAACCATAAACTGCATTCAGAAACTGTTAGCGTAACAGTGTTGTCGCTAAGGATGTCTCCTCACAAATGTTACTGCAAGCAACAGGTCATACAAATCACTACAATAATAACAGTAATAAAAGGAGTGATAATGAAAACTAATTGCCTAGAGTAAGATTACTACAGAGTGATCTAAAAATGTTACAATCTACAAATCAGCTAGTCAAGAATCTGTCTGAACAAACTGTGTTTTTATCTTCTAAACTACAGACAGAATGGAAGGGCAATGAAAGAAGCATTTCTAAGGATTGGTTGAATTACAGAATTTTCTAACTGAAAGAAATTTCCAGATTTAACTGATTTCACATACAAAATAATGGTATATTAATACCCACTCGTAAATTTGTTATATTATTCATAGTCGTATATGCATACTACACTTTCTTTTGAGAAGAAATGAATTTCAATACAGAAGCAGCTAATCACATCTTTGAAAAATAATTTATGATGTCATCTGTGACCACATTATAAACATATAGCAAGAAGACTATTATTAATAGGATAGTAAACACAAGTGGTTTTTAAAAAATGAAGTCATATCAGAAAATATACTCAAATTCTTTTGTAGATTTTAAAGGGTCCTGATAATGGTGTGTAAGTCTCAGAATTACTGGGTTTTTGGACTTCGTCCATCACCTGGTATGACCTACATCAATTTAACTACAGCTATATAAATACCTGAGACCTGGCTTTGTCAAGTCTGGTCTCAGGTATTTATGCAGTCCAGTGACTGAGGTTAGCTCTTTCTGCGGGACCCAAAAAGTAGGTGTCTTCCTCTCACCTGAGGACAAAAACAGATCCAGTTACAAAAATGTTGTGTTCTCTAGTTTTTTAGAATAATGGATGATGGAGAAAGTAAAAAAAAAACAGTAATTCTGGGTCTCAACTTCTTCATTCCAAATTCATTTTCTGATTATGTTATGGCTCTGTCAGTAACTAAACTACATGACATTGAATGTTAAGATCATATATAAATGATGAACTGGAAAATACTCAGTTGGAAGGAAGCATTGCCTATTTCCTAGTTGAGGTACTATTCCAACATTTTCCTGGATAGACTGCGGAAAACCACGAAAAACCTCAATTGGGATAGCAAGTGTCCTGGCTGAGATTCAAACCAAGTATCCTCAAATTATGTGTCAAGAACACTGATTTAAGCAGACTGGTTTGGTTTGACTCAAAATAACAACACTTTTTTTTAATATTTACATAAATAAAGAACAAAGAAATATTTTGAAATTTAATTAGATTCAGAATCAAGTTCATGATATTCAGTGTGCAAATAATCTTGCAGGTATCACCCCGTTGTCCTTGGAAATGCTTTTTCTACAGTCTCAATGCTAAGCAAGCCAAGTAATAAAATGTTGGCTTCTTTAAACAGATATTGTAAATGGAGCTAAGCTGTACACAATACTCTGCATGTCTTGTGGAATGCTACCTTGAGCAGGGAGCTGAGAATCCTCACCCAGGACCACACTCCTGCCACTCCCTGGCACTGTAACCAGGTTCCAGTTCACATTCAAATTGTTGCCCACAATAAATAACAAATCTATAATGTAGCAACCACTTTCAGCAGAGTTCAGTGCACATTTCATAACTTGTAGATTTCATGGTGTTGGAACATGGGGTCACTTCAGTAAAAAATGTACAAAATAAATGCACACAATGCAGAATGGGACACAAGTGGAACACCATAGGGGGACCTGATGCTAAACTGTTTGATTTTTCCTTCCAGTCAGAAGTATATTGGCTGCAAAATGAATATAACCAGGGAGAAATACTATGCACACACATTTTGTTTATTTTGCAACCATTATAGTCCTGAAAGAACAAAATTCATTTATGAATACATTGTATGCAGCACCTCTCGTTTCACATATATTGTGATTAATTTATGAATATTTTCCTCAGTATTGTCATTTTTAATGAGATGCTGAAAATTTCAGTCAATTGCCATAATATATGAATCATTATGTTTCTTGTTTTTATTCTAAATTATTTTACATAAAACACTCCTATATTATGTTTCTGGAAATTATCCATCACCCTGTTTTATTTGTGAGGGTAACTCAATAAGTAAGTTACAAATGGATATAGAACTTAAGCAAATAAGAGTACTGATTTGAAAAATGCTTTTATTTCTCAACATATTCTCCCTGTACAATGAGTCACTTGTCCCACCGTTTCTCAAGCCCCTGAAAACCAACAGCATAAAATTCTTTGAGCTGCTGTTGGAACCAGGTGGTGACTTCCCTTTCTACAGCTTCATCTTTGAGAAAATGTTCAGCCGAAAGATGACGTTTAAGAGGGCCGAACAAATGGAAGTCGCTTGGAGCAAGGTCGGGGCTATGTGGAGGATGATCAAGGACTTTCCACTTGAAATTTCGCAGTGTCTCATTTGTCTTGTTGGCAGTATGGGGATGCACGTTGTCATGCAAGAGCAACATGCCTTTGGTGAGGAGACCTGGTCGCTTCCGTTGAATGGCCTTACAAAGTTTCCTGAGGATGTTACAGTAGGAGTCGGCATTTACAGTTTGTCCTTGAGGCTGGAATGCAGTGAGCAGTATGTCTTCGTGATCCCAGAAGACTGTGAGCATCACTTTCCTGGAGGATTGTGCCACCTTAAACTATTTTTGGCAGGTGACGCAGGATGTTTCCACTCCATTGATGCACACTTTGTCTCAGGCTAATAATGGTGAACCCAAGACTCATCACCTGTGAGAAATCAGGCTAGCATATCATGAAATTTCAAGTGGGAAGTCCTCG